TCAATCTCACCAACCTGCCATCCAACAAAATATCATCCATCCAACCAACCAATCAACTTTGAAACCACCCTATTATCCACCAACCCATCAATCTCACCCACCAGCCATGCAGCCAAATTATCAATCAACCAAATAGACAACAATTTGCCAACTAGCCAACCAGCCAACTGGCCAGCCAGTCGACCGAGCAGTTCTTCTCGAGTTGTTGCTTATTCTGCTCGTCCTCTGCTTCCTGCTCCATCGGCTCTCTTCTACCCTCTTCGACATATTCATCTTAAACTTTGGCCAAAGTCGCTTCTGCCTCACTCTTCATGTCGTCCTTTGTTCCTGTCGCTCATTTGATGAGTCAGTTCTCTGGGCGTTTTACTTTACTCCTTCTCATTGTCTCAACATCCGAGAGCCCTCGTTATGTCGGAAAACACAATGTCCTACCTCCTGCGTCTCCTTACCCACTACAGTCCCTATCCCCATCCCCATCCTCTATCACCAGGCCCGCACTGCCTACTCCGCCTGTATCAGGGTTCAAGTATCATCAGAAAAGCAGACATGTATGATTCTGTATGTCTAAACTAGCAGTAGCACAAGCCTGATTGATCGCAAGTTGACTGGCATTTCACATTTTGTCTCAACATGTCGGAATATAGACCAAGTTATAAATGTCCGGTACCTGTGCAAGTCGAATTCATACATCGCTGTGTATTGTATGTGTGTGTGTGTGTGTGAGAGAGAGAGAGAGAGTGTGTGTGTGTGTGTGTGTGATTATCCCTCAATTGGCCTTGGGCACCAGTCGAGACCCGTTTCACTGGGAGCGTGCTGTATTCGAGGCTAAAGGAGATGAGCCTGTTGGGCTGTGGTGTTCGTCGTCAGAGCAATTAAGAGCACATGTTGACGGACAGTCGGTGAGTGAAGAGTACCCCAAATCGGTTGGTGGGCTCGTGTGTTGCGCTGACACAAGATCGCATAAAGTGATGAAGGAGAGACTGATCGTTCGATTCGCACACAACAGCATCCGTGGGCACCTCAGGTTTCCATTTACTCTCTGTAAAGGCCGAAATGTGTGTTTGTGTGTTGGAGTGTGTTTTTTTTGGTGCGTCAGTGGGTGGGTTGCATACATTTATGCATGAGTCCTCATGGGGTTGTGATAAATGTGTGTAATTGTTGAACTCTTTTTGAATGCCGAAATGTGTGTTTGTGTGCTGGAGTGTGTTTTCTTTGCTGCATCAGTGGGTGAGTTTCATACATATGTGCATGAGTCCTCATGGGGATGTGATAAATGTGTGTGATTGTTGAACTCTTTTTGAATGCCAAAATGTGTGCTTGTGTGTTGGAGTGTGTTTTCTTTGGTGCGTCAGTGGGTGGGTTGCATACATATGTGCATGAGTCCTCATGGGGTTGTGATAAATGTGTGTAATTGTTGAACTCTTTTTGAATGCCGAAATGTGTATTTGTGTGTTGGAGTGTGTTTTTTTTGGTTTGTCAGTGGGTGGCTTGCATACATTTATGCATGAGTACTCATGGGGTTGTGATAAATGTGTGTGATTGTTGAACTCTTTTTGAATGCCAAAATGTGTGTTTGTGTTTTGGAGTGTGTTTTCTTTGGTGCGTCAGTGGGTGGGTTGCATACATATGTGTATGCGTCTTCATGAAGTTGTGATGAAAAGTGTGGAGGTGGGACGAGTCCACCTTGCCGGGACACGGGAGTAGCATGCCCAGTCTGGTGGTAGCTAAATGACCTGCCATCTTCGACACCCTCGAAACAGGTGACCTGTACTGTGTGTTTGGGCAGTCCCCTCTCCCGACCCCCTCCCACCCATACGCTTCGCCCCCCCTGTCTGAGGACTGGCATGCACTTCAGCGATAGGGTACACACCTGCCTGTCGGGCATCAAAGCAGCCTCCTCGTCACACAAAAGTGACATCACACCCTTCACACCGCCACGTAGGTAGCGTGTGGCTGTCGGCCAGACGACATCTGTCCGTCTCTACCCCACTCACCCACCCACCCACATAGCCAGCCCCCGAAGAGGGCAACAAGCTGTGAGGCTTTCCGGCCAATCAGCGTCTGTTGAACGCGGACCCTTGACTGGATCGTCTGCAATTGGTCGAGCCGAGCAGACCGGGGGCATCTGCCGCCCCTTTCGACCTCGGCGGGACTCGAAGACACCGTCTCGTGGCGTGTCCAGTTGAGTTGTTCCTCCATTCTGCAAAGTCTCTTGCTTTACTAGTTTCTCGTGACTATCCTAAGATCTGTACCCGGCAGTTGGGTCGCGAATCTGACAATTGCATTTCGACACAATTCACAAAGCCTCCCTTCCTAAAAGATATTCCAATTGCCAGTGCCCGGGTTCGAGTCTCGCTGTGGCTGCTGAAGAGGCTAGTTGAGGCGAGGTGAAAACTGCAGTCTACCCTTTTAAATCCGACTGGTATGGTAGGATTGTATGAAAAGAGGACCACAAAAAAGCATCAACTGCATTATGAGTAGTATTCGATGCTATCAGAAATGAGTGACTAACGAAATGTGGCCAAATTCTCCGGCATCCTGAGGCTTACTCGGTTGGTTGTGGAAAAAGATTATCTATCACCCCATACATACATACATACATACATACATACATA